CAGTACTGATCACTGCCTGAAATTACACCAGTTGAATATTTAGTTAATAATAAAACTCATTGCCATCTGGTCAACTCCGACTAATAGTGACCCAACAGGACAGAGCAGAACTGCCCCACAGGGTTTCCAAGGCTGTAATTTTAACAGAAGCAGACTGCCACCTCTTTCTCCCGTGGCGCTGCTGGTGGATTGGAACCCCAGAGAGTTAATGGTTAGCAGTTGAGCACTATAACCACTATGCCACCATGGATCCAAAATATTCTAGGATCATGGTAAATAATACATATCATCTATTTAAAATGCCAATCTAATCTTACCCTGTAAGCCATGGCTATCGGACTGGAGTGAATAGTAAAAGGGACAGACAAAGAAGCAAGGGGGAAGGTGAAGGGAGTTAGAGGGAAAAGGTATTTTGGAAGGGAGAGAGGTATGCCAAAAGCAGTCTTCATCTAATTCACAATTTTATTTTCAACTGTCCCTTCTAGAAGAAACTTGAAGGGAACGTCCCTCTTTCATGTTTTCCTCTTTTCAGCATCAAGTCCTCCTTCTTACACCTCACCCAGTTAAAGGAGTGCAGTATAGGCTCATATAATTTACCTATAGGTGAGCTAGCCTGAAGACCTAAAACCCTTGTAGTATCAGTTATATGAAAACGTCTGTTCTGCATTCAAAATAATTTGAATTTAGCAATTTTACAGAGCACAACTTTCAAACAGATAGCTCTGGTAATGACTCTTTTACAGAGATAAATGAGATATGGCTTTGTTCTCGGGGTTTTCACAGTTCACATACCAGTCGGTAAGGTTGTTTTTGTAACAATCTATTCACAAATGGCAGGAATTGGAGAAGAGCTGTATAGATAATAGAAGCTGGATTAACTTGAGCTAAATTAACCAAGTCCCTCCATTAACCAGAATCCTCAGCCTACCCAACCCCTAAATCATGCTCATGTCAAATTTTAATCCAAAAATCAATTTAAACAAAATATTCTAGGATCATAGCAAATTCATATTATCTCTTAAATGGAACAATGAAACTAAATATAGTAAGATCTTACAACATTGATAAAAAACTAAATTGTATTCAGAAACTAGAAAGATAAAAAGCAAGACTTACACATTAGAAACTTTTTTTCAGAAAGGCATGGGGTGGGGAATGACTTTTGGTTTCACTGTTAACCAAAAAACTCAGTTAACTAGAAGCTTCATCTCATGAGTCTGCTGTTGTTGTTTTTAACAGCATGAGCTATGAAGTCAGACTATTACAAAACCTGACTCAGCCACCTCCTAGATATGTGACTCTAGATGAGTTGCTTAGCCTCTCTATTCCTTGGTTTCCTTGTCTGTAAAATGAAGGTGGTAATAGTAATTAAACATGTAAAATGCTTGTAACAGTGCCTGACACATCATAAGGGCTCAATAAGCATTAGCGATCATCATCATTAATGCATTACCTAACTGTGTAGATAAATTTATGGAATTAATATCATGGCAACCAAAGAAATGCATGCTGTGTTCCTCCCATTGCACACAATATTTCCTAGAAGGGAGGCATGGGGAGATAGGGCGAGACAAAGTGATGTGGCAGCCTTAGCAATGTCCAGAGGAATGCAGCAAGTCTCCTTCTGAAAGTTTTTAAAAGAAAAACCAACCAACCACAAAAAAAATAACAACAAAATTCCTAGGAATTACTGCTTCCCATCCGTCTTCCTAGCTTTTATATTATATCCACAGAGGTTAATGTGGCAATGAAAACTGGAAGAAGTCTTCGATTCCTCATAATATTGATGCTGGATGACTACTGACACCTTCCTCGCTGAAAGTCCTAACATAGTATTTGGTATCAAAGGAATCAAAGACTATAGAAAAGAAAAATGGGGCTTTATAGTGAGAGAGGATTTCCCTTTTCAGAAAAATCCTGGTTACCCCTAACCTATCATTTATTTACTGGTAAGAATTTGTAGAATATAGTATAGTCACTTCACCTTGTAATTACCATATATTACTATGGCACACTCAAGATAAAAAATTGCTTTTGATGATACTGTTTCTGTTGAATACTGCCATCCAGAAGGAAAACCTCAGCATAGGATTATACTTTAAAATAATATTGTACCTGTTTGTCTTATAATGATCTTTTGCATGAGGGGGCCCTTTGTTGGAAACACCAGAATCACCCTGCTCTTTTAGCTGGGTCCTGGATGAGCGTGGTTAAGGAGACAGTGAAGTGATGAATACCGTAGACATGCTTTCACAACATAAAGTTAAATTCCACTAGCTGAATCAGAATGCATGCAAGTAATGAAATCAGGCCTATCTAGCTTCTATTTACATCTGTCTGTCAATCTGCAGCCACTTTCATTAATTTTGAAAGGGGAAAAAAAAATCAGCTTCTGGATTTTGAATGACTCCCACATTTATGTTGGGAAATTGTGAACGCAAGAGAAATCCAACCCAAGCCAATAGTTTTGGATTCACAGTAATTGCATACATTTTATTTCAAAATCCTCCCTAGCAGTATGTGCCTGTTACCTAAAGCGATGGAGCAGGCCCCAGTTTTATGTCTGTTTCTAAACCTGGGCCTACAGTACAAGACATAGCATCTACTGTGGCCTCTGCTCTGTCACTTTGCCATGCGCTTCTAATGTAGTTTTACTTGAATAACATAAAATAACATATATAATGTTATTTATGTTATTTTCCACGTGAAGAACTCCTGTAAACCTTGCCGTTTTGAAACTCAGTGAGGCAGGCGTCTTAGACAAGCTGAAAAACAAATGGTGGTACGATAAAGGTGAATGTGGACCCAAGGACTCTGGAAGCAAGGTCAGTCGCTGCAGTTCGGGGCCTCCTCTTGTGTTCACAAAGCAGTAAATGGGAGCAATTATCAGCAGTATATGGAAACAGTAAAAACTGAACATTTCTCTATACACTCAGCCACTGCCTAAATTTAAAGCTAATGTCGTAAATTTCAGCCACAGGGACTGTCTTTTTAGAAAATTGTAGCCTGCTCCCCCAATATAAAATCTTTTGAGTAAACTTAAATTAACTACAAAAAATAAAATTAATAAAATTACTTATATTATTCTCAAACGTACGTACCACTAATCAAAGGAGTGTGTTTTATGGTTGGGTCTTTTATTTGTTTGGGAGGCAAAGATTATGAAATCTTTTATTTCAAGAACTGATGTATTCACAAAACAGGAAATGAGAAATTGATCAGTAGTCATTCTGAAAACGATTTTAAATATTAAATAAATGTGTATTCAGTATTTTGTCACGATATTGCCAAGCATTCCACTTTAGTTTGAAGAAGCCCTATTATATATCTGTGCTGACAGCTAAACAGAGTGAACCTTCCAATTCTGTTTTTCCAATCAAAATTATTTCAGTAAATAAATCAATGCTTATGAATAATATCAAGTTCTAAAATCTCTGACTCATGAATTGTTTTAGAATGATACCGGAACCTATAGGCCTGATTCTGTTGAGTGCAAATGAAAGTAGTATTAAAAACCATTATATTTTTATTCTAAAGCAAAAATAGGGAGCAAGTTTATGAGTGAATGTAAATATTTACATAAATTAATAGAATATAGCAACAATGCCTGAAAGCTATACTTGAGGATTCTTGGTATCCTCTTTTATTTTTTTCTGTTCTCTTCTTCTAGAAAGAAAAAAAAAAGTATTGGAAGTCTAAGACATTAAACAAGTGATTGTTTTAAATAGAAGAGTCTCAATTAGTCTAAGGAAGACACAAAGTTAGGTTAATTAATCTTTTTCAGGGTTTATGTCTTTATTTCAATCACTTCTGCTCGTCTTTGAACCAGAGTGGAATGAGACAAGCTTGGCACAGATAATAGTCATCTCAAATCCTTACATAAAGTAGAAGCAAAAATACTTAAGGAGAGTTTTTTCTAAAAAATGAAGTTAACCTAAGTTTTTTGGGCCTATTAATTGATGTCATGGCTAAGTGGACAGAGTGTATGGTACATCCTATAAACACTCTCCTAATAAAACCATTTAAGCATCTAAATCACATTTTCTACAAAACATACTGCTGAGCAGATGATGGCCACAGGGCATCCTTCAGGTATGCCACCCAAAATACTTTTTCAAATAATATTATGTAATAAACATCATCTGTGAAAAAAATTCTAAATTCTAGGTAACAATTTTAATATCTTTTAATCATGTGCTTAGCTATTTCTGAACTTACTGTGATATAATACATGTAGTAAAGATTTGAAGAAAAATATGACTAAAATATCAACTGATTAAGTATTCTTAAATGGGAATGGAATTGTATTTCCAAATCACTAAAAATAGCTATAATTTTGGCCATACATAAGTAATTTATTTCTCAAATGACCAGGATAATTTGCATATTTTTTAAAAGTTACCTTAAAAAAGTAATCTAAATGAGATGCATATGTAATTATTCCTAAATCGTATATAATATGTAAAAGTGATATTTTTCACGTGAATTTCTGTAAAGATACAACTGAAAGAATAATGTGTACTCTAGCACACTATTTGCATTTACTTGCAAAAGTAATAAGAAAATGTGAAGCTACTAGCTTAAAGACCATTAGTTTCTTAAGTAGGAAATTTCAGGAGAAATTTCAAAAACTAAAAGTGTGCTTTAATGCAAGCAAAGCCAAATGAGGTCCCCATCCCATGTAATTGGAATTTAAACATGGTCATTTTCAAACGTAACATTAAGCCCACTTCTGCCACCCTATATAAATTCCTGTAAATGGCTAAGTATAGTGCCTTTCACTGCATATTTAATAATGATAAAATGTTACAGATTTTATTGAATGCAATTACATACTATTTATTGGTAATCATCATAACTTCACTTCTCCTGAGAGCTATAAACTTTATGTTGAAATCCATAAACCAACATCAGTGACTTATATGTGTAAATAATTTCGAGTTAAATTATGCATTTGTTTTAATTGGCTGTCTGGATTTCATGTGTTCTTCTGCCTTTTGGACGTGACATTTCCACAGTTAACTGAAGTGTCTTTATCCCCCTCCAGGACAAGACGAGTGCCTTGAGCCTGAGCAACGTAGCAGGCGTCTTCTACATTCTGGTTGGCGGCTTGGGCTTGGCAATGCTGGTGGCTTTGATAGAGTTCTGTTACAAGTCCAGGGCAGAAGCGAAGAGAATGAAGGTGGCAAAGAGTGCACAGACTTTTAACCCAACTTCCTCGCAGAATACCCAGAATTTAGCAACCTATAGAGAAGGTTACAACGTATATGGAACCGAAAGTATTAAAATTTAGGGGTAGGACTTAGGGCCTACTACAGTGAGTGGGTGATGCATCCTGTAAACGCAGTGTTGTGACCTGTCTGTCCATTGCTGGTATTGCTTGCTTCTAATTAGAGCTTATATTTTTTGAAAACTTCAGTGCAAAGTGGTTCGGTTTTCTTTGGCTGCAGATGTACTGTTTGAAACTCTATGTTGCCAATAGATATCTGCATTGCGAGGGTCAGAAAGACAAAAACGAATCTCCAGAATTGCTTCATGAAATGATTTAAACACTTGATTCTACTTGAAATTTGGGAGAAATTGGAAATTAGACTTGGGTCTCCTTGCTCACAGATCCAGGCTCATCTTCTCTGTAACAATCCAATTTTAGGATAAGTGCTAACAAAATAAGCAAAGAACCTGTTTCAAATGATCAAAGCCTAGACAGTTGCCTGTTTTTTAAAGGTCATATGATTTTCTGAAAAACAGCACATGCAAAGCTTCAAAGAAGCGTCAGGCACATAGTAAGTGCTAAACAAATTTTAGCTCCTATTCTAGTTTGTTTTACAATAGCCATCATTCCATATTTTTAAAGAATTAAACTCTGCTATTTGTTAATCTGACAGTCGTCCTTGAGCCAGACCCTTAGGCAGGCACGATCGTCCAAATAGGACTACAATTCACAATTTTTAGATGACATTCTACTTTTATTTTCACAATATCACTAAGATGAATAGGCATTTTAGGCATCACAGCAATTTCTCCATCAAAGATTTCAGCCATATATGTGTTCTATAAGAGAGATGCAGTAAAAGATAAAAATTATAGTGGGTTGCTGTGGGCTTTTTTTTCCATTTCAATTGCTTTTAAGCAAGCCAGAGCAGCCTTACTTACATCCTTTCATTGTGTCACCAAAAAAAAAAAAAAAACTCTAAGCATTCAGTGAAATATAGGAGATGGAGGTTAGTTTTTTAAGACTCTAAATGTTCACTACTTTTTTCCTCTTATGATAGAAAGTGGTTTCAAAATAAGATTTGAAAGCATTTGTTATTGCTCTTCCTAAAATCAGGTCTCTAAAACCCATTTTCTAAAATTATACCTAATAGCCAACTGAATAGGCTGCTTATTCTGATTACAATCACAAATGAGCCTTTGAACCCACAAGACACTTTTGGTGTTCGATGTTCTCCAGAGTCAAAAGCCCAATATAATTGTTAATAAGAATAATACGTACGTCTGAGGTTATGCCAGGTAAACGTGCACCGAAATTTGATATTTATTTATATAAAAGTTACTGAAATGCTTGTTAGTTTCTTAAAAACAAAAAAACAAAAGTAACCCCTTTTTACCAAAATCTACTAATTGCTTTTATCCATAATCTAGATATCAATGACTTCATACACCAGCACCTAAATAATACAAAAGAAGAACCTTCCCAATGTTGGGAAGGAGAGTTATGAACTAAACCCTCAATTCACTCAGATCAAACTATTTCGGGCATGTCTTCTAATACTGAAACAACAAACTGAGACAAGGTCAACGCATCTTGGCTATTATGGGAATTCTTTCATCTTAATGTTTACAGAGTTGAGGACAGATTTTCCCAGAATGAAACCATAGCTGCCCAGTTTTCTAAACCAATTATTTCGACAGCATTCTGAGATGAACTTACTCACATTAAGGGCAGATAAAAACCAGTTGCCGTTGAGTCTATTCTGACTCGTGGAGATCCCATGTGTGTCAGAGTAGAACCATGCTACACAGGATACCCATTAAGGGGTTCTGACCCAAAAATCAGAAACACATAACATTAAAAGACAGGATTACACTAGAAAGTTATCCAGCAACTCTGATACCAAGCCCTGGCCTATATTTCCTAAATATAACATCTTATTGCTAGATTTTCTTGATACAAATAATGCTGCTCTGCTAATGATTCTTTGTATACATATACCCAAAAGCATATGCACTCTAAAATTAGGTAGGAAAATACTCATCTCTGGTACATAACCTCCCAAGAACCTCACTTCAAAGAGCAAGACTATAGCAGTCATGTCCACTTCCTAGTTCCATGGTGAGGTTCTGCCATATGAGTGAGGTTCTTGATTGAAGGACCCTTTAAAATGTTTGTTTAATTGAATTGAATTATCACTTCTAAATTCCTCATTGCTATATGTACTGATATTCAGCTTCTGTTCAACTTTTAACAGTGTGCACTGTATGCATTTAGAATGTTTTATTAAGGTAAAATTTACCCTTTTTAGTGTACAATTCTTTGAGTTTTGACAAACGCTTTTTTTGAAATTTTATCCCATCAGTTTCATTTACAATGAAGCAAAAAAGTATCCTTCTGAATATGGACATTCATCCATTTAACAAATATTGACTTAGTGCCTATTATGTGATAAAAGTACAAACAGCTTTGATTTCAAGAGACTAACAGAAGACAACCAAGTAGGAATATTGTTTTTTCCTTAAGTCCTCATTATCTTTGCCAACATTGCTTAATATAAAGCTGTTAATTATACTGATTTCTGATTATGAAGAGAAATATTAATTTTTGAAACTGCTCAGAAAAGCAAACATATGAGATTGACCTTGTTTTTTTAATCATAGATATGTCATTAGCAATTTAACTTCAACTTTCTGAACTTATCAAGGTAGCTGATCTCTAAACCATTACACTCTAACATTCTTTAATTCAATTACTTAATTTAATTATTTAATATATCCCATTGTTGTGGAGTCGATTCCAACAGGACGGAGTAGAACTGTCCCATAGGGTTTCTAAGGAGCGGCGGTGGATTCAACTGCCGACATTTTGGTTAGCAGCCGAATGCTTAACCACTGCGCCACGGGGCTCAGTAATTTAATATATAGTTATTCTAACATTTAAGTTCCAAAACAGAGTAAATAAAGGGATAGAATTTCCCGAAACAATTGGTAAACTTAAATTCACAACAGGAAATCAAGATATGGTGGAGTTATGATCTAAGCCATAGCAAACTTAGGAAATACCTCATTTACCTTATTTTCCTCTTGAACTGATATTACAATTCAGCTACTAGAAAAAAGTTAAAGGCAATAACCAGATAGTAATTAGATTTACATAATGTCACTGCCTGTTTGTCCTCTGTTAATACTAGTATCTCCTACCTAATATGACAGAGAACAGGGCTTTGATGAGGACTTTAGAGACCTGATCCCCGTAACCTCAATATGGGAATTTCTCCTGTGATGACCATTCAGGAGGTATTAAAAGATGCCCACTTTCAGTGTAGCCCCCTTTAAGCACACTTGCTAAAATATGAGCCTTAGCTTCCAGAGTAGACATAGAGTGAACTATACGTCACTAATTGTGCTGTTCTGAGTCATGTCTATAACCCATGTGAATGAATGAAAGTGTCTGTGGCTAGGTCTCTGTTGTGAAAACAGGAAGATCAGTTATGAATTGTCGATATACTTTGTTTAGACAGTTTATCATCATTTCAAGAGTATAATCCTTTCCTTACATTGTAAAGACATTTCTTACTAAGAAAAAACATTTAAATAAAGAAAGTTGTTCAGACGTAAAGGAGCTCTTCCGTTTGACTAGGGTGCCGCAAGTTAAGCCGTGTGGCATGCCCAGATGTGCTAAACAAAACCTAGCTTTATGTTTTTAGAATTAGTTCCTACACAGAAAGGAGCACAAACTCGAGCTTGATCCGTTCTTCAGCGTAGCTAAGCTTTTCTTTCCCTTATTAGCGGTTTTTATATAACCGAAAGAATATGGGGAAAAAAATGCAGATGTCTAAATATTGATATTTTGGTGTTTGCTGTGTCATAGTTTGTTGAAGAAACAGAAACGTTGTAACATTCCACATTCTTTTTGTTTCCTTTCCATGCAACCCAGCTGACCTTTTCTGAAGCCATAAGAAACAAAGCCAGATTATCCATCACTGGGAGTGTCGGAGAAAATGGCCGTGTCTTGACACCCGACTGCCCAAAGGCTGTACACGCTGGAACTGCAATTAGACAAAGTTCAGGATTGGCTGTCATTGCATCGGACCTACCATAAAAACCAAAAAAATAATTGAGTGCCTTAATTAAACTGTGTTGGTGACTGATGGAAACGCAGCCCTGAGGGACACGCCGAGCGCGCGTCTTTGTTAAACCAATCCTTTGGCTGAGAGCGGGAAGTCGTCCTAATGCGCCGGACATCATCAGCAGCAACGTGTGCATGAGCTCAGCTCGGAAACCCAAACTCAGATTTTATATCAGGAAAACTCACAATTTAGGTTTTTTCGGGGAGGGAGGGAGCTGGGATGGGTGTATTAACACCAACAAATTTCACTCGAGTGGACTTAAAAACTAATCAGACTTGCGAGTTTAGCGCATTAAACTGTGAAGTTCTTGCTCAGAAAGACGTTTGTCTTCACGCAAGGAATAAAATAGTTATAGAAGTCAATGAACATGCTAACCTGTGTCTCTAGAACACCCATATATTCAATGGAAGGATATCCAGCTGAGAAAACAAGTCACTAAACTGTGATATGAAAATAATAAACATGTAAATCCTGTGAAAAAAAAATTTAAAGGAAGTATTTACACTTTGGAGAAAACAAATACTGAAACATGCTTGCTTTTTAACTGACGTAAATTCAGTAGACGACAACACAATTCTTTTTTCTAACCATCTTAGGGAACAATACATTGCAATAATTGATATAAATGCCATCACTGTAATAAACTTCAGAGACTTTTTTTTTTATAAAAGTTGTTGATCATATTCCTGTTTGCTGTAACCTTCACTCTGTCACATGAGTCGGTGTCCACAGATTGCATTTGTCTCACTTCCGGGAACAAAAACAAAAAGAAGAAAATGTTAACCTAAAATCATCAGTCTGCAATGTAGAATCAAAAGAGACTACGGGTCACTCATGTTATCGATATTATTTATAATCTTGTTCTGTGTACAAAATTGTGGTTTTTGTACCCACAAAAAGAATAAAAACAACAGACGTTCTTACAATGTCTGCAGAGCTTAAGGTTTTTTCTTATCATTATCAAAGTTATTTGAGAAATTATAAGACTATAGGAGCGATTGTTGAAGTCAAGTGGTGGACCATATTGGAAAATGTAGCTAGTCCTTATTATTTTTGCATACCAAGCTACTCTTCTTTTACAGACGTTTGACTTGTTAGCAGGTTAAATTGTCAAAGCTGGAGTCTTTGAATCGAGGAATCAATCATTGTCATAACAGCAACATACCCTGTAATTGTGTACTGAAATTTTACTTGACTGTATTTTGCTGCATAAAATTATGTGTCTCTTGGGCTTCTCCCCCTATTCCCATTGTTCCATTCAAATCATTTGAAGACCCTAATAATAGTTTTGGGTAGACAACAAATGAAGAATTAGTCCTTGTTATCAAATGGAAAGTGTGAGAAAAATTAAACCCATGTTTATTTATAGAAAGTACCTTATGTTATGTATGGACTAAATTAACATGGTTCAAAAGAAGGTCAAGTTCCTTTGAAATAATAAATAAGTGCTATAATAGTAAAAAAACAAAACAAAGAAACAAACAACAACAACAAAACCCCACAGTACTTAGGGATCTTGGCAGAAAGCACAAGTTAGGATGATTGTGGAAGTCTGGCCTTGAAGGATGAGATAAGTTTCAATAGGTGGAGACATATTAAGAGCCTTAGGTGAGCAGTGGCCCAGAGCTGTGTATGTCAATGGCTTGTTTAAGGAATGTATACAACTGGATGGGCTAGTGAGAGCACAGGGTGATATCATGGGAGATAAAGTTGGAAAAGGTGAAGGATTGATCTCCTTGCCTCAACTCTTGATATCTGCACTCTGCCCCATTCAATCTCTGTGCTGCAGTAAGACCAATCTTAAAAAGTGAAAATCTGGTGATACACACACAGGTCCCTCAGGAAAAATCTCAAGCTCTTGAACAGAGCATATGAGTCCCTTCATGAGCTGCCCTTGTTTCTCTCTTCCAGAACATCGCTCACCCCTCCCCAACATCTCCCACCACTAAATGAACCTCAAAAGTAGCACGAGACAGTGCATATACTATTTCCTCAGTCTGTAACACTCTTCTCTGTCTCCTCTTTACCTGATTAACTTGTACTCGTCCTTCAATACTCAAATCAACTTTGAAGATTTCCATGACTATCCACCACCCCCTGCCTATGAGACTGAGTTAGGTGCCCTTCTTAATGTTTTTCCCCATCACAGCACTTACCATGCTGCATTGTAATTGCCTGTGTATTTGTCTGTATAACTACTAGACTGTAAGCTCCTTGAGGGCAGGGACTGTGTCTATCTTGTTCACAGTTGTATCCCCAGCACCCAGCACAGTGCCTGGCATATTGTAGGTGCTTAATAAATATTTGTTGAATGAATGAATGAATTGAATTGAATTAATTTAATTAAGTGGGCGCAGAAAAACAACATCTTTCCTCATTTACAGTCCCTAGAGTGTGTATTAAGCATATGTTCTTATTGTCACTGAGTGCCATCAAGTTGATTCTGACTCATAGCAACCCCATGTGACACAGTAGAACTGCCCCATAGAGTTTTCTTGGCTGTAAATTTACAGAACAGATCACCAGGTCTTTCCCCCATGGAGCCACTGGGTGAGTTTGAACTGCCAACCTTTTGGATACCAGCCAAGTGCTTAACCCTTGCACCACAACCACCAGGGCTAGTGAGTCAAAAGGGTAAAGTTTGGCTGATTGCATGATGTTGTACACCTCACTGGAAACAATAGCTAAAGAGAAACAAAAAAGATGACCCGATGGATTTTCTGACCAGATGAGAAGGTACTCTGTGTAGTTGGACCTAGCTGTGGAATAATTGGTTTAGCTAGAGAAATTATCATTTGTCATAACTAAATAGCCCAAAACAGGTTTGTTTTCTTTAAAAGCCATACTTCCAAATTTATCTTTCATTTAAGCCTCAGAGTGGGTTAGTGATGTAAAGTGTACCGGTTCCCATCGAGTTGGTTCCGACTCATAGTGACCCTGTAGGACAGAGTAGAACTACCCCATAGGGTTTCCAAGGAGCGGCTGGTGGATTTGAACTGCCAACCTTTTGGTTAGCACCCGAGCACTTAACTACCATGCTACCAGGGCTCTGTGATGTAAAATTAGGGAGTTTGACTTCTTATAGTAAAGAATAATTTTTTCAAAAAAAATTATAAATTAAAGGGAGGAGATGGCAATCATTTACAAAAATGAAAATTAGTATGTGAATAAATGCTCAATCATAAAGAAAAAAAAGAATTTTTTCAGAAACAAAATTTTGAATGTAACATCAGTAAAAAAGGGATATCTTGCTGGATACCAGCCTGAAGAAACCCTGTAAAACTAGGAAATGTGAGTTTAAAACATTTAAGAGTAAGTTAAGTTTAATACATTTTAACTAAAACAAGAGCACAGTTACCAAACAAGCAAGATCACTGTCCACTGCAGAATTCCCTGAACTTATCAGGTAAAGCCAGCTTTAAAGCTACATTGGCTAGTTAAACTTATACAATGACCACCTTTGAATAATATAAAGAACCCTCAGGAGGACCACTTTGCTACACTCGATCCAATAACTACTCATTGAAAATGCCAGTCTTGCTGTTACTGCACTTGCTTTCAGGCTGTATCTTAGATATGTGCTGGCTGGTTCCCCCTCACCAGTAGACTATCAACTCATTCCATTTCCCTAAGGTATAGCACATAGCAGGTGCTCAATATATGTTTGTCAATGTTTAAAACACAACTGTATATGGTAAATTAGTATCAGTGAAAAAACTGCTCAAATACTTTTCCCAGCATACAGAATATCCCAATTGGCAACACTAAGGAAGTGGTAAGAGGAATAAGAACTAAATGAAAAGTGACATACAGGACAGTTTGTGAAAAGATAAACTGAAATTGTGCAAATTCATCTGCCTTATACTTATTAACATGATGCTGCATGAAAGATGTGGCTTTTCATGTACATTAATAAATGGGTGTTAATTTTCCCTAGTCCAGCAGACTAGAGTACTGAGCATTTGTAAACCCAAACGCAAATGTAATAGGTGGTGTATTTCAGTATTACCTAAACAGCTTGTACCAGTAGTTGTCTTCAAAAGAGAACTAGTCTTTTTTAAGAAAAAATTTTTGATAAATTATGAAGAGCAAGAGTTGTGGCTTGGAAATTGCATCTTAACTAGCATTGAGGGCTAAATTGCTTTCCATGAAATAAGAAAAACCTGTTTGTTGGTTTGTTTAGTTTTTTATCTTGCTTTGATTTTATTTTCCTTGGGGGAGAAAATGGGTAGAGGAGTAGAGAAAACTAAAAGATAATGGAAAAGGAGCTAGTAAAAAGCAGAAGACTGGGTGAAAGGCCAATAAGATTCTCCTGGTTGGACAGAAGGACTTATAAGTACAGAAATGTTTGACATGTGATGTTTACATTTATTAGGTGTGTAATGTTTAATGTATTTCCCTTCCCATGATCTACATACCACCAGTTTAAGTTTTCCTGCATGCCACAGACCAGTATTTGTGATTGCTTTGAAGGAGGCAATCAAGGAGTAAATTCTAAGTCCCATGCTTGGGTTTATGCCAGATTAGAAATATCCCTAATAACTCTTCTTGCACAGAAATTGGGAGAAATCTAGGTTTGGATTTGCCCTTCCACATGACCAACAATGAAGGTTTACTCCATTTTATCTGAATGCAAAGAAGTTGGAAGGTCAAGCAGACCTCCAGAGTATATAAACCCCTTGGATCTGTACAAGAATTGGTGATATTTAACTCGATTATCACTTGAAACACTGAGGCTTAACCCACTAGGCCTACATCTATGTAATCCTTGGTCACTGTCCCACATAAAAATCACCCCAATAATCTCTCTACTATCTTGTCCCACATTCACTTCCCACTAATCTTCTGAACTTCTCACCTATCTTCCCATTCATCTTCCCAGTGCTTCCCTCTCTCCCTGGTCTAGCCGCTACTCTCCCTGTTGCCCTCAGTCCAAAGTAAGGAGACTTCTAATACCCTCAACATCTCTCCA